ATTGCCCCCTCCATGTGCCTCACTCCAGACTGTCAGCGGTGCCTCTCCTCCTCATGCACAGGGACACAGACAGGGAGGGCCCTGCTCTCTCTCAAGTTCCAGAGGACATCAGGGCCCACTGCCTTGTCACCAATTCCAGAAGAATGAGGTCTCACCCCACAAGCATTTCCTTCCTGGTTCCCTCTTCTAATTAACCACTCAGCTAATTGTTACAGGACCACCATAGAGCTGGAGTCCAGGGACCATCAAGTACACCACACCGAGGCAGTAAGGAACAGTAACAGTCCAGAGGTCTGCAAAAAACAGACTTTAATATAACAATCTATCACTGTTAAATACCCTCAGCAATTGATCACCTGTGTCTCCTGGATGCTAAACTAATAAAGGAAACAGGTGCCTCAAAATCTGTCTCAGATAAGGCTTATCTCCAGTAAAAATTAAAAGCATGTTCCAGCTCTCCCTTCCAGCTCTCTCTCCCTCCCTCCCTCCCTCCCTCCCTCTCTCTCTCTCTCTCTCTCTCTCTCTCTCTCTCTCACACACACACACACACACACACACACACTCACACACACTAACCAATATAGCAGAGTACTGAACATTATAATATCATGGCAACCAGCTCAAGATTTTAAATTCACCATGGCTGCTTCTTAAGGTGTTTAAAAATTCTCCTGAGCTCCAGAACCAGCTTGGATCCACCTGGACAGCACCTTGTCAGACCCAAGCAGCCACAGAGCCCTAAGCAGCAGAAGGCAATGGATGATTCCCAAAGCATCAGATGACAATCCACTACCCCAGGACATCTGGCTACCCCAAAAGCTCCCTTCCCTACCCCCAAAGAGTTGACCGACGCCCACTGAGTCAGCTGGAAGCAGTTTCAGGGTCACAGTGCCCCCATTCCTGACCACTCGCCATTTTTTTTAATAAGCGAAGAGTCTGGAATGTTGCTACATGACCACACATGCGCTGTTCAGTAGCCAAGTGAGGGGCCTTACGTCTTACATAATCTGTGCACTGCATGATCACATAATTTTGCACAGTGTGATCATGCAATTTATGCACATGTGTGACATAGCTCCATAAGCCCATATGCACATGAGCAGGGGGAATCCATAAAAAGCGGGTCACAGACTCCTCCCCTGTCTTCTTCTTCCCCCTTCTCCTTCTTCCTCTCTCTCTGTACATGTCTCCCAAACAGGCCTGAGCACACCCTCTCCTGTCCCCCCTTCTCCTAATAAACTCTCATAGTGGGTTTTGTTGTGCCTTGTGGCTTTCCTTGCATAGTAGCAGCACTGTTTAATGAATAACACAGCGCCACCGCATTAAACCAACATTTTATATTTCTTTCTACCTCACTAGCTCTTTTGTGTTGTAGACCTGCATAAGAGTGATTGTTAATAACCAAGCAACAGAGTAAGCACTAGGCTACCTTGACATCTCAACCAATGAAATTAGTCTAGACCTCTTCAGTTTAGCCTCAGGCAGATTCTTAGGATAAGGACAGTAGCAGCCACATTCTTTGCCAAAATATGACAAGAATGATCCCTAGGCCAGTTCTAATATTGTTCCCTTCTGGAACCTCTTGAGCTAGGCCCCCATCTACATTTCTCTCAGCCCTGTCTTTCAAGGTCCTTGTAGATTGGCCCATTAGGTTCTGCTTAAAGCACCAAACTACTTTCCTAGGAGTTCAATGTCTCAAAGTCTTCCACATTCCATTGTTGTGGAATATTATTTTAAGATACGTTACAATTGTTTCTGCTGTGGACTATCTGTTTAATGATGCAAAGATATGTTACATTTGTTTAATTCTGTAAAGCTGTGTTACTTTGCCTGTCTAAAACACCTGATTGGTCTAATAAAGAGCTGAATGGACTATAGCAAGGCAGGATAAAGGATAGGCAGGGCTAGCAGGCAGAGAGAATAAATAGGAGGAGAAATATAAGAGAAGACAGAGGATCAAGAGATGAAGGAGGAGGACTCTGGAGGCCAACCACACAGCCAGACATGGAGTAAGAAGTAAAGAAAAGATATACAGAAATAGAAAAAAGGCAAAAGCCCAGAGACAAAAGATAGATGGGATAATTGTTAAGAAAAGCTGGCTAGAAACAAGCCAAGCTAAGGCTGGGCATTCATAAGGAAGAATAAGCCTCCATGTATTTATTTGGGAGATGGGTGGTGGGACCCCAAAGAGCAAAGAACCAAAAGAGTAAATAAAACAATCAATACATCAACGTCAGCATGGTCAGGCTTGTTGCAGCAACAGCCCATTTCCTGGTAACAACTTCTGCTTAATTACTTTTGGGTTGCTGTAATAATACTCCATGATCGAGGCAACTTATAAAAGATAGTGTTTAATTTGCTTTACTATTTAGAGGGATGGAGTTCATGATGGCAGAGTAAGGAATAGTTGAGAGCTCATAGGCTGATCTAAAACCACCAAACAGACAGAGGAGCAGGAATGGTATGAGTCTTTTGAAACTTCAAATCTCACCCCCAGTGACACACCTCTGCTGTGGATATCACTCTGTATAAATAAAACACTGATTGGCCAGTAGCCAGGCAGGAAGTATAGGTGGAACTAGCAGAGAGGAGAGAGGAAAAGGAAAGGAAGGCGGAGGAAAGGAGACACCAGCTGCCGTTCAGGGGAGCATCATGTAGAGGCAACAGGTAAAGCCACAGAACACATGGCAACATATAGATTAACAGAAATAGGCTTAGTATTAGAGTAAGAGCTAGACAATGGTAGGCCTGAGCTAATGGCTGAACAGTTTAAATAATATTAGAGTCGGTGTGTTTATTTTATAAGTGTGCTCCAGGACTGGCGGAGTTTGGCGGGAGCTGGAGAGAAATTCTCCAGCTACACACCTCCTCCATGATCGCACTTCCTAACCCTTTCCAAAAAGTTCTATGTATCAGGATTTTCCTTTTTTGGGACCACCAACCAGTTCCCAAATCACGACATGGAGACTTCCTATTAGTTATGAGTGTGTGACCTTATCTAAGCTCTTACTTTAATATGTTTCTCTTTATCTACATTTTGCCTCAGGGCTTTTTACCATCTTTCTCCTGTATGTCTTACTTTCCTGCTGTCTCTGTGTCCGTCTGTCTGGCAGCTGCCAGGCTTCTGGGCGGGAGTGTGTCCCTCTTCCTCCTCATTCTCTTCTCCCTCTTCTTTCCTTCTTTTGAGCCTAGATTTCTCCTCCTACTTATTCTCTCTGCCTGACAGTCCTGCCTATCCCTCTCCTGCCTAGCTATTGACTGATCAGCTTTTTATTAGACCAATCAGCTGCCTTAGGCAGGCAAGGTGAAATAGCAGCACATTTTTGCATAATTAAACAAATACAGCATAAGCAAATATAACACATCTTTGCCCAGTTAAAACAATATTCTACAACAGTTCTACCAACTGGGGACTACAAATTCAAATATAGGAGGCTATGGGTGCTCTTCCCATTCAGATCACCACACTGGATAATGAATGAAAAATACAAATTTATTTAAATTGCAACCCTGAAGGTTGGGAAATCTAGAACATGATCCTGCATCTGTGTGGAATCTGGTAAGGGCATTTTCTCATCATCTGCATCATCTCATGGCAGAAGTGAGGTTACCATGACAAAGCAGAGCAAAGCAGCTAATTCAAGTCTCTCTTCCTTTTCTTATAAAACCATGTTCAGGAATTGTTCTCATCTTAATCACTCCCAAAGGGCTCACTTACAAGCACTATTAGCATTTGACTTCAGAGATTATATATCCAACCCATGAAATTTGGGGGAACATTTCAAACCATAGCACCTACAAAAAAAGTCAGCCTCACACTATTAGTCAGGGCCATGACATTTGTAAATCTCCATTTCAGTTGAATTGTGACAATTCTGGGAACTAAAATAAAATGTTTTCCAAAATTAAAGTAACTTGTACCTCTGATTATCACCCTTCCTGTTCTTCCAGTCCCAGGAATAGCTAGCCAGGAGAGATGGTTACCCATCACCTGGCATTCTTAATTCACTACCCCCTGGATATGCCTAGAAACAGCCATCTTCAAAACAACAAAACCTTTTTTATCTCCTTCCCACTCTGATTCCTGTGAAAACCACAAGATGAGACCATCACTCTGCTACACAGAACTGAACTCTCCTCAGAGCCCCCATCATGCTGCTGTCTTCTTGTCTATGGTGTTAATAACTTTTCTTATAAAAATATTATCCCAAAGAACAATCTGATCTAAACTCAGAACCTGAAATCCTTCACATACCTGTGATATCACCTGACATGAGGGTTGGGAGGGGGCCTCTTAAGAGTTCCAGGTTCTTGTGTCCAGAAACAAGGAACTGAGCAGAGACAGTTACAGTCGAATCAAAGACAGTTTATTTGGAGAAGGTATACTAGTAAGGAAGAAGATAACAAATCAAAGGAAGTCCAATAGTTCAAGCTGCCCGCTATACTAAGGGTTTATGCCTTATAACTCGGGCTTTTTGATTCATTAATATAGTAAAGGATTTTCCACACTACCCTGTTATACATAGTTCCTCACAGAGTTTTCTGCTTGGTATATCTTATTAACATCTCATTTTTTTCAGATTTTAAAATTAAAATGTAGTCATCATTGCCCCTTTCTCCTCCCTCAAATCTCTCCCATGTCCTCCCTCACTCCCACTCAAATTCATAACTTCCTTTTCATTGTTATTGTTACATACTTGTGCATAAGTATATAAATACATTGTTATTGTTACATACTTGTGCATAAGCATATAAATACAATCTGATCAGTCCATTTAGTGTTACTGGTATGTATATGATTTCAGGATTTGGCATTGGATAACTAATTACAAGATTCATCCCTTGGAAAGACTAATTTTCTCTTTTTCAAGAGTTTGTTGGCTAGGTTTACAGGACAAGGGATAATTTCCCTTCTGTTGAGTGGCCTAAAGTTGAACTAGACAGTTGTTGGTCAATGACAAGATATGAATGCCACTATTGTACCTTTAGGAATATCTTACCATGCTGGTCATCGTTGTGGTTCATAGGCATCACAGCTGGATGGGACTGCTTATTGCTTTCCTCCCTTGGCAGCTTGCTCAGCACCTTTCGGTATTATGAAACTAGTCCTCAGGGAGGAGGCTTCCAGGTCAGAGGAGTGCTGTGTCTGAAGTCCATGATGTCTACAACAACAGGGACTTCCCTTTAACTTCTGGGAGTCAACAAATCACAACAGCAACAACCTATATTATTTTTGGAGTTCTCTTGAACTTTCCTGATCAACAACTCAAAAGATGATTTCTCATACCTAGTACTGGAGTTTTTGTTAGATAGTCTATGGCTCTTGGGGAAGCATATGTGAGATGTGTGTGTGTCTGTGTGTGTGTGTGTGTGTGTGTGTGTGTGTGTGTGTATGTATGTATGCATATATATACATACATATATGTGTGTTCTCTTTTATATATATCCTATATAATGTTGAGTAAACATAAAATAATAGTGCTTCCTTATGGCCTTTTCAAACATCCTTAATGTTATTTATCCCTCCACTCACCTTCTCCTCTCATTAGCATCTTAAATGTCCACCTGGGTATTGTAATGAGCCTTCAGACACTCTGGAGTGTCTGTGTCTGCAGCAGCAACTGGCTATCAGCAACCTGTGAAAAGAGGGTTCCTCCAGCCTTCAATTTTTTTTGTATGCTAACCCCTTCACTTGGTTTTTGTATGCTAACCACCTACCTGGTACACTTGCCAACATATTTGGAATATGTGCTTTATTCTGTGACTATAAGACTTCATGAAGTTGTCTTCCCTCTAGAACATGGTATTTGGGGAAACTTAAATCTATGTACCCACCATGGTCACTGTACTGGCTAGTTTTGATGTCAACTTAACATAAACAAGAGTCATCTGAGAGGAGGGAACCTCAATTGAGAAGATGGCTCTATAAGATTGGACTTCTGCCGGGCGGTGGTGGCGCACACCTTTAATCCCAGCACTCAGGAGGCAGAGGCAGGTGGATCTCTGTGAGTTCGAGGCCCACCTGGGCTACAGAGTGAGTTCCAGGAAAGACACAAAGCTATACAGAGAAACCCTGTCTCGAAAAACCAAAAAAAAAAAATTGGGCTTAGGCAAGCCTGTAAGGCCCTTTCTCAATTAGTGATTGATATGGAAGGGCCCAACCCATTATGGGTGGGGCCATCCCTGGGCTGGGCCCTGGGTTGTATAAGAAAGCAGGCTGAGCAAGCCATGTGAGTCAAGCCAGTAAGCAGCACTTTTCCGTGGCCTCTGCATCAGCTCCTGCCTCCAGGTTCCTGCCCTGTTTGAGTTCCTGTCCTGACTTCCTGCAGTGATGAACTGTGATGGGGGGGGGGTGTATGCAAAATAAACCCTCCCCTCTCCAAGTTGCTTTTGGTCATGGTATTTCATCACAGCAACAGTACTCCCGAGACAGCTACTCTCTCTCTCTACTTATCCCCTTTGAAGTAAGAGCTGTGCTTTCTGCATTGATACAAGGTATGTGGACAAAGCAGACAGCTACGTGCAGGACTAGAGAGTCCGCATGATGAGGGGCCCAGAAACAAGCCACGAGATGATGCCAGCCATCTTTCCTGCTCTTTTCTGAGATTTCCACCACTTAGCCGGCGGTCTCTGTAAATACGCTCACCACACATTTGCCAACTCACCACCAGCCTCCCCTCTACAATGTGGAAATTGTCCCTTCCCCAGGAAAGGGCTTTCTAACCTGTCTCACACTTACATGTGTTCCGGCTTTTGTCTCTTAGCTTTTTGCAAATTGTTTACATGGCCACAGGCCCTGGAGGGGAGATGGAGGGAATTCCACATCCTTTGTCCAAACTGTAAACAACTTGATTTTATTTGACCAATTTCTGTTTCCTAATTTATTTTAGAATACAGGAAAACAGGTCCCCTGACCTGGGACCACAAGGACCAGTTCCACACTGCCCCATCCTGATGGAAGGCAGCATGTTTCCGAAGTCCTTCCCTGGTGTCCTCACCCCCCCCCCATTTTCCTCTCCCCTCTACCTTAACACTCTCCTTCCAGTCTCCACCCAGTCTTAGCCCCTTTCTCTTTGCGAACATACTCTCCCAATGAAACCACCTGCCTTTACTTAAATGCAAACTCGTTCTTGGTCTTTGCATATCCCAGTTCTCTTGCCTAGAATGTTTCTTCCCACTCCTGCTTCTGGACCAAGTTCCCTGTTCCCCAGTGCCAGGACAACTCTCCGTGCTGGAATGTGCCATCTGTCCTTTACCATTTGCTGTGACAGCGCCTCTGTGCCCAACACCAGGTCATGAGCACATCATCTGTTAGAATGTGTACCCACCCCTTTGAAGATAATCATAACTTCTTAAGAGTCCAGATGCAGCAGTTGGAAAGAATCAGGCCACACATTCCTATGACTCTCTCTGGGATAGAGAGTTAAGAAACAGTTTGTTCTATGACTTGATAGCTAATAATTTATGATACCTGGCTCTTCCATGTGTGGGGATGAGACATTCAGCCCTAACCTGATGGCACTGTGTTATTGCCTGCTCTGGCCCAGTCACTTAGAGACCTCCATCCAGAATGCTCAGACATGTGCAATAATTTATACATAACTCCCTTGAAATGGCTAAAGAAACTTAATGTCTAACTTAAAGGTCTCACTGAGCTTTGCCCTGCAATGCCTGGGGGATCCTAGTGGCCTGCAGGTGAGCTAAGAATAGGATAATAGTGTTCCTGCTGCGGGATAATTAACCACTTGCTTTCTGCTTTTGTAAAGTCCTTTACCATTGTGGGACTGGGATGAAGTGGCCTTTTCATTACTAGACAACAGGAAAGAGAAATAACTGAGGGGAATAGAACAGTTTTCTTGCTCAGCTGCAGATTCCATAGATAACGGTAATGTATATCCTTGATACCCACCTTTACAAACCTTTCTTTTAGACACCTTCATCATGGTATACTGTTCGTCTCTAAGGATTCTGTCTTTCTGCTATCAGTAATAATAAATTCATTTAATCTAAATTTGAATCGAGTCTAAGTCTTTGGTCTTTCCCAATGGATTCAAATGCCACAATATTTGGAGACCCCAGCAAGATGCCTGAGTGATCTCAGACTCAGAGCCAGGAGTCCAGGACAGGCCCCACCTGGGGAGCCAGTAAAGGGATAGGCCCTGGGAGACTTGAAAGTCTGGGGAGCCCCTGGCCAAGGCTGTTACAAATTAATGTCACTAGTAGGGGACAGGCCCTGAGGGAGCATGTAGACTTTACAGGTCCCAGGTAACCCAGATTATGGGCATTGAAAATTTGTAAATTGGCTGGGCAGTGGTGGCACACGCCTTTAATGCCAGCACTCAGGAGGCAGAGCCAGGCGGATCTCTGTGAGTTCGAGGCCAGCCTGGGCTACAGAGTGAGTTCCAGGAAAGGCACAAAGCTACACAGAGAAA